GCGCTGCTGCGCATCCTCCTCCTCCTCCTCCTCCGGTCCCCCGACACCTCTGCCTTCCGCCTGCTCCCATCCCAGGTCGCCGTACTTCTCTCGTGTTCCGTCGTGGTCGCCGGATGCCCCCCGCCGCCGCCCGTTGCTTCTCCCGTCTCCGAGTCGTGCCTGCCGTTCCTCATCATAGCCGCTGTCGCGGTAGCCGTCGCCGCCGCCGTTGCCGCCGCCCTGGTCGTCCTCGTACGACCCGCCGTCCTGACGCTGCTGCTGTTCGCCTTCGTTGCCGTCAACACGGCCGCGGCGTCGCGAAGGAGAAGCCGGACCATCGGTGTAGCCCTCGCCGGTCGTTGTAGGTAGTTGTTCCCCGAAAGGATTGTGGTGGAAACCCTGCTAGGTGCATGTAGAAGGGGCGGGAGGGAGGGGGGGGGGGGGTGTTGTCAATGTGAAGGCCACCGATGAACCCGTCCCAGCTACGGATTGAGTCGTGTGCTGGCCACGTCCAGGGGACAGACTCCTCAGCCATTCGAGGAATGAAGAGGTGTTGGTTTTGGGGCCATGGTGTTCGTTTGGTTTCCCCAGCTTGTCAAACTCAAAAGACCGGACTTGGACTTCCATCGCTCCCACGCTAGGACACGACAAACACAAAGATGTGTGGGGGGGGGGTACGGACAAAGGGACTCTTCCGAGAAAAGAAAAGGTCGCCGCTGTTGTGTGCACGGCGTATTCTCTCAAAACTCTTCGGTATGGTAGTTGCAAGTTTTAAGCGGGAACCCATCATTATTATAACAACTCCTGAAGGAGAGGACACACCGACCCCCCGCCGATACACGCATCAAACCACCTCGCAAACTGGGTCGTATGCAACGGGGAAAAATATAGTCTCTTGCTAATAGCTACCCTCACCTGTTCGTGCGAAGCCGGCGTCCTCGTGGCTTCCGAGTCCTGGCTAGCTCCCCCCCCCCTGCCCCCGCCGCCGTCTCGATACCCCGGGTCCCCTTCCCTGCACCGCGCATCCGACTCCTGGCTCTGGTCGCCCTGACGCGAGTACCCCCCCCCCCCAGACCCCGCCGCCGTCCCCGGTTCCCTCTTCGCGCCACCTGCCGCTGCCGCTGTCGGCGGCGGTGGCTCCTTGCGGATGACCTTGGGCTCCATCGTGGCCATGATCAGCTCCGCGGCGAAGGACTTGGAGTGGCTCTGGAACAGGAGGGGGTCCCCACCCTCCCGGAAGAGCATCTCCAGGGTCTGCGCCTCCGTGGTCTCGCTGAAGTGCAGGAGAGCCTTAAGGATATTGTGCCGCGAGAAAAAAGAGATACCCCCGACGACAAAAAAACGGCCGCGACGATAAAAAAAGAGCGTACGAAAGGGGTCGTTGATTAACTATTTACCTGATATCAATTATAGTGGTGCGGGTTCAAGTATAGGTAGTGGTCTCTGAATAAGACCGCCCTGAATAGGATCGGCTTTTATAGGTCGGCCGGTCTTATTCCGCCGGGCATCCGGCACGTTTCAGAGTACATATGATATCAACCGCTGTTACAGACGAGAGAAGTGTTCACGTTAAGCGTACACGTCATGCTCGGGGGTGTCAGCCTCCAGTGCTACAGCTCTCTGGTTTGGAGTGCTGGGTCTTGGAATGTCGCCAAACACGGGGGCGACCTCAACTGAAACTCTTGGTCCCATGGTCTCAAAAAACACTCGACACAAGACACAATCAAAACCTCATCAACGACCGGGCCTCCCTCCAACTACAACACACACCGATCCTGCGTACCCCCCCCCCTTAACCCTCACCATTCCGACCAACATTCTGACCTTAATCTCCTTCAGGCTGAAGACGAGCTCCACCTCTTCGTCGTCTGTGCCGCAGAACCTTATCGAAAAAAAAAAAACACACACACACAAAAAAAACAAAAAACAGGGTTGTTGGTGTCATGGCAGAGTTGTTTGAAACACAGTTCGCTTTCGCAGTGATTCGCACAGATGTGCCTTGGTCTTGTCCATTTTTTTCTTTGAGCCCGGCTTGTGTTGATATTTCCTTTAGCCGGGGCAAGTGTGTTGGAATAATATTACTAATAAGAATAATACCATGAGTACGATCCGTGCGGAACGCAATGGTCCTGGCACAAGGGCAGAACGGACTGCTGTGTCAAACGTGTAGACAAAACAACAACAACAACAACAACAACAACGACAACGACGACGACGACGATAACGACCAGGATGACGATGCAGCATTTCACGACAAAAAAGGTTGCCAACACCAAGAAAACACTGGTACAAGTTACCCCCCCGCGCAACAATAAGAGGGCAATGACTTCGCGTCACAGCTGTTTAGCGATCCCACAAGAGTGTTAGATCGCTCCGGAGGGGGGGAGCATGTACCGCTACTGTTGTGTGATTTGCTTGCCGAACAAAGACTCTCGCTACGCTGCGATCAAATCGTCCTCTCAGGACAACGGAAGACGAAAAACGGCGCTCTTTCTTAGGTCGTGCTACTGTTGGGGTATGCGGTGTCTCATGTGTGTCTCTCTCGCTGGCTCGCTGGCTCGCTTGCCTGTAGGTGTCAAACTCCGCCGTGCTGATGCTCATCTCCGTCTTGAGCACCGCTCGATCCGCGGTCCCCGCCAACTTAAGTGTCGGACCAGACACACAGACAGACAGACAGACAGACAGACAGGCAGACATACAGACGAACAGACGGACGGAGAGCGCAAACAGAAAAACTTGAGCGGTGACACAAGACAAGGACGGTAAACTAACCCAACAAACAACAAGAGCACGCACGACGTTGGACTCGCACATTGACGCAACCCTTGTGTGTGCGTCTCGTCGTTCGACCACCCCCCCGAATGACAACATATGCGCTGAGAATTAGCTAGCACTTTTCGTCGGTCGGCCGGTAAACATGGTCGACGATGCAGAAACAAAAACGTGTTTGAGACATATGACCTAAAATATGCTGCTGCCAGTCTCCTCCGCGAGAAGAACAACAGCAACAACATCAATAAGAACGACGGACTGCATGCCGTGAGCCGCATACCGTAAGAAAAGACTCACAGCACCGAAGAAAAAAACAAGAAGAGGCACCAGTGCGACACCCAGGAACAGGTCAATACTCTGGTAGAACTCTCGCGTCTCGTTCTATGTCATCGTAGCCTTGCCAATAACCGCCCCCCAGCCGAGCTGTCGAGGGCGCTCCAAATATCTAGCAGCAATTGTACTACTTGCAAGCCGCCATGAAAGCCGACGCAATGTAGCATGGTTGTTGGTGGGCGAAGCTCAGAGACCCTTTTGCGGCACACGCTTCCCCCCCCCCCCCCCGAGTCAACC